GTATTCAACAAGCAAACAGCCGACAACTCGAATAGCCATGTATTATTCACAGTTTCCATCGCTTAGGGATCAACTTCAGATTATCACAGCTTATCCATATGAACTGATTTTTAAGCATTCTTCTACGTTTTACATGATTGTTTTGTTTTGTTTCTTGTTTTTAATCCCTATGTTTTTTCTTTGACAGAAATATCAAGAAAGAAAACACAAAACCGGCTCTTTTAGGAGCCACCACATTTAAATAAAAGTCAGTAATTCATTTCAGAATCCGAGGATCAAACCTCGCTCCCTCAACAAACAAACAGTCGACAACTCGAATAGCCATATATTATACACATTTTCCATCTTTCGGGCATCAATTTCAGATTATCACAGCTTATCTGTATGAACTGGCATGTAACTATTTTTCTACGCTTTAAATGATTGTTTGTTTCTTGTTTTTAATCCTTATGCTTTTTCTTTAACAGAAATATCAAGAAGACACAAAACCAGCTCTTTTAAGAGCCATTACATTTAAATTAAAGTCAGTAATTCATTTCAAAATCCGAGGATCAAACCTCGCTCCCTCATGTTTAATTTTATATTAATCGAGGCCATCATAATCCATGGTATACTAAGGTCAAGTCTCAATTTACACGAGATCTCAACCTCTCACATGCTCTTCTAACCTTAACAGAACTAACTTTTGTCGACTGTAATGATTATGAGATTGTCANAAAACCGGCTCTTTTAGGAGCCACCACATTTAAATAAAAGTCAGTAATTCATTTCAGAATCCGAGGATCAAACCTCGCTCCCTCAACAAACAAACAGTCGACAACTCGAATAGCCATATATTATACACATTTTCCATCTTTCGGGCATCAATTTCAGATTATCACAGCTTATCTGTATGAACTGGCATGTAACTATTTTTCTACGCTTTAAATGATTGTTTGTTTCTTGTTTTTAATCCTTATGCTTTTTCTTTAACAGAAATATCAAGAAGACACAAAACCAGCTCTTTTAAGAGCCATTACATTTAAATTAAAGTCAGTAATTCATTTCAAAATCCGAGGATCAAACCTCGCTCCCTCATGTTTAATTTTATATTAATCGAGGCCATCATAATCCATGGTATACTAAGGTCAAGTCTCAATTTACACGAGATCTCAACCTCTCACATGCTCTTCTAACCTTAACAGAACTAACTTTTGTCGACTGTAATGATTATGAGATTGTCAGACAAGGATATACTTACCAACACGGTCATTTTTACCTTTATGTTTTCAATGTGAAAGTAGTCATCGGGTATTCAACAAGCAAACACCTGACAACTCGAATACCCATATATTATTCATATTTTCCATCGTATGGGAAATTCCGAGTATGCATCGATCAAAGCCAAACAGTAAACAGGGCCATCCATCACCCAAAACATTAAATGCCCACCCTAAATGAACAGCTTCGTAAACTTAGTTCAGCAAAGTGCTTCCCTCTAGTGGATGTTAAAGGTTTCCTCCACATCTCCCTTGATGAGGAGACCTCAAGGATTACAACCATGCATACATCATACAGCAAATACAGATTGCTTGGCCTGCCATTTGATATTATCAGTGCGCCGGACGAGTTTCACGAGGCTGACATCTGCACTGGAAGGCTCCGTCCTTGTGTATGGGGAAGGCAACAAGTTCGAGGACGCCCAGGCAGACCATGACCGAAGATTCATCCCCTCAATGGACCGCTGTCACCAAAGATCCAACAAGATCAAGGTGGGAAAACTTTGCTTCAAGCTTAAGGAGGTTAAGTTAATAGGTACAATTATCTCAGATAACAGAATGAAAACCTTATCGAGACAAAGGAGCGAGGATAAGACACATGGCAACAACACAGAACAAGCCAGCACTACTTCTTTTCATAGGCATTGTTAACTATCTGCTGCTTTTCTGCCCCAACCTAAGCTCTGTAATTCAACCCCTCTGCGTGTTGACCCAGGATGCCGTACCATTTTCATGGTCTATGGCTCAAGAAAAAGCCTTCAACAAGGCGAAACAACCGGTTTCATCCGCCCCAGTCTTTTATTATGACCCCCAGAAACCAGTAGTACTCCAGATAGATGCCAGTGATAATACTCATGGCCGTGCCCTTCTGCAACCCAGTGACGAGGATAAACTACAACCAGTTGCCTTCATGTCCTCAAGCATGAATCCTATGGAACAGCACTATTTCCAGATACAGAAAGAGTGCCTAGCAATCTGCAACTGCTTCCAAAAGTTTGCCCAGTGGCGGTATGCCAAGCCTGACATTCAAGTCCACACAGATCACCAGTCATAAGAAACCATTATCAAGAAACCACTGAACAAGGCACCGGCTTGGCTACAACAAATGTTTAGGAGATTACAGTGAAATCAGTTCACAGTAAAGTGCGAGAGCGCCAACTCTTTAGCTGGCAGACGCACTCTCTCGTGCAGCCCTACCCCATCCAATAACAGCACAAGTACGGGACTTTGATGTTTTCAGAATGGAGATGGAGTCACACTACAATGCTAGAAATCCGAGACTAACTGAGAGCCTTGAACGGCTACGTGAGGAAACTAGCAAAGACACCACACTGAACACATTACACAAAGTAATTGTCAACGGGTGGCCAGCAGACAGAACAGACATCCCAGAGTCTTTGCACCCCTGCTGGAATTACGGGAACGAGCTGTCAGTAAAAAATGGCATTTACAAAGGAGCCAAAGTTATGCTACCTCAGTCGATGCAAAAGGACATGCTTTGCAATATCCACGCCAAACACTTTGGTGGAGAATCGAAGATATGTATGGTACGTGAAGTCCTCTTTTGGGCAGGAATGCAAAAGTCCATCCAAGACGTGTGATGCGTGTAGTAGTTGCGCCCAGTATGGCCAATCTGCACCAAAAGAACCAATGAAATCCTTACCAATAGTACGCCAGTAGCAGTATTCTAGTTCTAGGGAGTTTATTGGCCCCTATAAAGTCCCCTGGGAAATTCAAGCAAGTTATAATTCTCCGCAACACAGGTAGCACNTCAAAGCCAAACAGTAAACAGGGCCATCCATCACCCAAAACATTAAATGCCCACCCTAAATGAACAGCTTCGTAAACTTAGTTCAGCAAAGTGCTTCCCTCTAGTGGATGTTAAAGGTTTCCTCCACATCTCCCTTGATGAGGAGACCTCAAGGATTACAACCATGCATACATCATACAGCAAATACAGATTGCTTGGCCTGCCATTTGATATTATCAGTGCGCCGGACGAGTTTCACGAGGCTGACATCTGCACTGGAAGGCTCCGTCCTTGTGTATGGGGAAGGCAACAAGTTCGAGGACGCCCAGGCAGACCATGACCGAAGATTCATCCCCTCAATGGACCGCTGTCACCAAAGATCCAACAAGATCAAGGTGGGAAAACTTTGCTTCAAGCTTAAGGAGGTTAAGTTAATAGGTACAATTATCTCAGATAACAGAATGAAAACCTTATCGAGACAAAGGAGCGAGGATAAGACACATGGCAACAACACAGAACAAGCCAGCACTACTTCTTTTCATAGGCATTGTTAACTATCTGCTGCTTTTCTGCCCCAACCTAAGCTCTGTAATTCAACCCCTCTGCGTGTTGACCCAGGATGCCGTACCATTTTCATGGTCTATGGCTCAAGAAAAAGCCTTCAACAAGGCGAAACAACCGGTTTCATCCGCCCCAGTCTTTTATTATGACCCCCAGAAACCAGTAGTACTCCAGATAGATGCCAGTGATAATACTCATGGCCGTGCCCTTCTGCAACCCAGTGACGAGGATAAACTACAACCAGTTGCCTTCATGTCCTCAAGCATGAATCCTATGGAACAGCACTATTTCCAGATACAGAAAGAGTGCCTAGCAATCTGCAACTGCTTCCAAAAGTTTGCCCAGTGGCGGTATGCCAAGCCTGACATTCAAGTCCACACAGATCACCAGTCATAAGAAACCATTATCAAGAAACCACTGAACAAGGCACCGGCTTGGCTACAACAAATGTTTAGGAGATTACAGTGAAATCAGTTCACAGTAAAGTGCGAGAGCGCCAACTCTTTAGCTGGCAGACGCACTCTCTCGTGCAGCCCTACCCCATCCAATAACAGCACAAGTACGGGACTTTGATGTTTTCAGAATGGAGATGGAGTCACACTACAATGCTAGAAATCCGAGACTAACTGAGAGCCTTGAACGGCTACGTGAGGAAACTAGCAAAGACACCACACTGAACACATTACACAAAGTAATTGTCAACGGGTGGCCAGCAGACAGAACAGACATCCCAGAGTCTTTGCACCCCTGCTGGAATTACGGGAACGAGCTGTCAGTAAAAAATGGCATTTACAAAGGAGCCAAAGTTATGCTACCTCAGTCGATGCAAAAGGACATGCTTTGCAATATCCACGCCAAACACTTTGGTGGAGAATCGAAGATATGTATGGTACGTGAAGTCCTCTTTTGGGCAGGAATGCAAAAGTCCATCCAAGACGTGTGATGCGTGTAGTAGTTGCGCCCAGTATGGCCAATCTGCACCAAAAGAACCAATGAAATCCTTACCAATAGTACGCCAGTAGCAGTATTCTAGTTCTAGGGAGTTTATTGGCCCCTATAAAGTCCCCTGGGAAATTCAAGCAAGTTATAATTCTCCGCAACACAGGTAGCACCGCTGAAGCCTTTTCATGGCTCACGTTCCTGTAGAACCAAACCTAGCAGCTGTGGCAGCTACTGCTCCAGCAGAACTTGAACTGACACCAGCATCAACTGCCAAGATATTATGTTTTAAGATGCATATACTCTACTGTATTCAGTAATTTATATTTATTGTTTTTTCAATTGTTCTAGAACTTGGCACTTAGAAGCTTATCTCCAGTTTACATGGTGGGCAAAAGGTGCCTTGGGAAAGAAAAACTGGCAATAGTGAAAGAAATTCGACATGAGCTTCCTTTACAATGGGAGCATTTCATGTACATATTCATGCTCTGATAGGTCGCCTTGCCTAATAAAAAATTGTCTACAAAATTGACGCACATTTCGTTATTACCTATTTCAGTTTCCCTACACCTTTTTGGAACCATTTTGCTTATCTCCTTCCCTTTTGCGTAATTCCCAAGGCTGCCCAGGATGTTGTAGACAAGGTCAAACGCAAGATAGAAGTGGTGAAGTCAAAAAATTTCCCAAAATACTGTTAGCCAGACTTTTCAGAACTTTCGACAACTTCTGCTCCATCCCCCTGCTGTGTTTGATGTCCACTCGGCCATGGCAGCTTTTGAGCATTTATCTGACAACGCTCCCAAGAGCGGTGACCAACATGCCCGAAGATGCAAAGCTATCCTTAAGCAAACCAAGAGCCTTTCTGAAAACCAAGCTATTCAGCGAATTCTCTTGAGGCTCCTTGGAACTAAAGAGGAGATCACCATAGCAAAAGAGATAGAGAAGTCTACTAAAAGTAACCCCCCTAGCTTCCTGCTTTTTAGTAGTCAGGTCTTCAATAGCCAACTTCCTCTGGCCAAAGCTCACTCATACATCAACTGTTACGCTTGTGGCCTGGAACACAGCAGGTAATTGCAGAGCCAGAAGGGAGCATAACTCCCAGAGATACCATAACCACGTTGCCTGTACTCTAGTATACGGCCTGAATTAATAAACATGTGTTTCCACGTGTACACCTCATATACACACTTGAGTCGCGTCCAGGAGAGGTTCCTAAACACACCCCTTTTCAAGTCTACGGAGGGTCCAGCTTTGTTTAGCTGAACTATGATGACAGATATCCTGTCATAAACAGGAAAAGTGGCAGAACAACTTGATGAATTCACTGTACATAAGGTGGAGGTTGTATAACAGCTGAACTTGCTGAAAAAGTGGCCGGACTCAGTCGTCTTCATCCTTTGATAATAAGAACTGGCAGAAAATGACTGCCATCTCGATGCTGTCACAGATCTCTTGCAAGCAGTCGCTAATACATAAACCTATCACTATAAAGGGCCAGAATGTGAAGACCACAACGTTCAGTTAGCTACAATGCATTCTTTTTCTCAATATAATAATTAACTTTTTGTCTTGTAGAAAAGAAATTTCCTATCAATGTGGATTGGTTTCAACCTTCCAAGAGACGAAATGCTAAACTTGTGGGGGTTATATACATGGGTTAACTAAATATACCTAAGGAACACGGCCTCTCCGTGGCGAGTCACCATTAGCCAGCGACACATGTCAGTCCCTGGTCTACACCACAAATGTCCTCTGCCGGTAGATGTCCCTTTGCTAGGCTGTGGGGGGCGCTACTGCCTCAATTGCAGGAACGTGGGCAATAGTCTCTTCGAGCATTAGACCCTTAAGGGTTGGTATATGGCCAAGATAGGCACTATGTTTCTCTGTGTGAGCAATTTACCTTCTTATAATAGAGAGCATTTCGGAAGAACAACTTAAAGCAGCAGACTAGTTACTGCAACAGTTTTGTTGAAAATTTAGCAGAACTCACTTTATTGACAGCCAATTTATAACCCCTGTATCCTTTACCCAAAAGTTGCCTGAGCTTAAGGAAACAATGTATAACGCCAGGCTCTGAGGAAGAAAGGCTGTATTATAAGTTGCTGCATCCTAACAAACCAAAGCAAAAGCTAGAAAGTCTGCCTAGTGTGTACACACTGGGGTCATTTTACCAGAAACGTCTAGATGACAAAGAATTTCTAGCACTTAAAAGGTATTTTGGTCATGCGCCTGGACTGCCGAAGTGAATGCGTTTAACTGTATTGAAATAAATGAGACATTGATTTATGGTTTGGATTGTAAAAGGATGTTTTGAAGGAACTGTTCAATCATACACTATTGTTATAAAAACGTAAGCCATTTTGTCCCGGTTAAGTGTTTCTTCCAGGTAAACTTAGGAACTGATATACAGAATGGTGCATTGATTTATCCTTTGGAGTGTTGCTCACCCTACAATCCCGCATCAACGCATATCACAACAGTCACGCGAATGAACAGCTTACGTGTCATCAACATCAAAAACATATGAAGAAATTGCATATACATCACAATTGCTGAAATTGCCGCAGAGCACAATGTTTGAGAATTTGTGAATAAAATAGGAACAGATTAGTCTTGCGTGCAAGGTGAGGGAATTATCTTTGTAGGTACGTATTGTATCTGTAAATGTTTACTTCAGTTGAGTTAAAGACTTAAGATATTTCTCACTTTTGTTTGTAAAAATCTCTTTCCTTTTAGGTTTAATTAGTTAAAGTTTTGCTTATGTTGAATGTCTCACTCATAAGTAGTGTGGACCTTTGTTTACTGGTGGCTAAACGTGTGACTTGACTGTAATTGGCTGCTGGTGGCTATGGCAATCGACAGAACCGCTCAACAACACCAAAATTACAGTCTCCAGATTCCAAAGCCACCTAATCTACAACTAAAAAAAATTTGCCTACTTTAAGGTTGTAGTGCATTCAAAGTGAGAGCCCAAATAACAGCCCAAAGAATGTTGGTTCACATTTGGTGAATTAACTGTCCCGCCTCATGCACACTGTGAAAGATACTCTCTCACTTGGAGATTATGTCTTTTTACTCAACACACCGCACTCGCCGGATGTATCTTTTTGCTCTCCAAGTTACCATGACTCAGACACCCCGAGAACCGGGGACAAACGTGGCAGATATTTTAGCCAACAGTTCAATTGTATCCAGAGATGTTGTTAGAGGTGGTCCTAATGAACCAGTGGCACTTCGTACATCCTTAGGTTGGGTCTTCTGTGGACCAACAGGTGGTCATGGCCAAGATTGCACAGTGTCTATGAGTGTTCAAGTTTGTGCTAACCAAGAACTAAATGATACACTTCAGAAGTTCTGGAACTTGGAGTCCATTGGTATTACACCTGTTGAAATGTCAGTTTCCACCAGCCAAAGTGAAAGTTCAGTCTTAAAGAAGTTTAAAGAGACATTAGCATACAAGAATGGTCGGTATGAAGTCTCATTGCCATGGAAAGATGAGCAAGTTGTACTGAAAGACAATTACAAGCAAGCAAGAAGTAGGCTGTATAATCTGGAGAGGAATCTGCTCCAAGATTCATCCAAAGCCAAGTCCTACCAAGAGGCCATTAATAAGTATGTGGAGGACGGAGTAGCAGAAGAGGTACCCTATGAGCAGTATGCACCAGCAGATGGGCGTCCTGTGTTTTACCTTCCACATCATGCTGTTATCCGAGAAGATAAGCAAACAACTAAGACGAGGGTTGTATTTGATGCATCTGCGAGAGACGTAAATGGTGTGTCTCTAAATAGCTGCTTAGAAGCGGGCCCTGCATTGCATCCTGATTTGGTCGGAATTCTTCTGCGCTTCAGAAAGAATCAGGTGGGGGTCATGGGTGATGTTGAAGAGATGTTCTTGCAGATTGGCTTAAAAGAAGAAGATGGGGATTCACATCGTTTCCTGTGGAGAGATTTGGACCCTGATGCCACACCTAAGATTTATCGAATGACAAGAGTTACGTTTGGAGTTATTTCTAGTCCATTCCTTGCCATCTGTACCACTCAAGAGCACGCAAGGTGATGGAAAGAAACATTCCCTGAAGCTTCAGATGAAATTCTGAGGAACACTTATGTTGACGACTTTGCCTCAGGGAAAGATACTGTACGTGATGCCGTGAGGTTACAGCAAAGTTCAAAACAGCTTATGGAGCAAGCAGCCTTCAATTTGACAAAATGGTCCAGCAATTCGCCTGAGGTTATGCAAGCCATTCCTGAGGAAGATAGAGCATCAGATAGTAGTGGTGGGAATCGGTTGAGATTTCACAATCGACCATCGGAAATAATCGGATTGCCCCAACCGATCGATCATCGATTATAATCGGAAAAATCTACCAGACTGTGCATGTTGTTACGTTCAAGATTACATTGCAGCAGTTCAGGTGAGACTGACACGAAATCGACAAAACACACGTGCCACAAACCTTTGTTGGCGTATTGCTTTCTGCAAAGCCTACAGATTACCTTCGTCATATCCAAGTTTTCCTTTGTTTTGGGCCCTTCCTTCAGTTACCAAAATATTCCCACAGTTTTGACCTGTCGTTTCCAGGATAACGACAGATCTCCATCTCGGCCATTTCAGCCGCCATGTTGGACTTGTCAACAACATGTAAGCGAGGCAGGTCTGAGAGAGGACCTTGGGGATTAATTTGAAGCGACATTTCGCTGCGATGTTGTTCCTTAATACCTTTCATTCGCTAGTGATAGTAGTGATACTACAAACGCAAAACAGTGAGCTTGTAATTTATGTTTTGGTTCAGTTGTTTGCGAAATACAAAGCAGCTTAGCATGCCACATCTTTCAAATAAGCGTGGTGTATTTGAAGTGACAACAACACCGCGCGCTGGGTACGCACAGGTAAACACATTCAATCTTAGATTATATCTGCTGTCATGACTTAGAAGTTAGGAGTCCACGAAAAAAGACAGCTCACACCAAGATATTAAACGTACATTTTTATTGATTTTAATACTTTTATTTGTCACCAATAAATTTTTAATTTTTCCGCGACAATCGATCATGAAAAAAGCATAATCGATTGTCGCGTCGTTTGAACTTTTCGATCAACTTTCGATTATAATCAATCATCGGCCCACCACTATCAGATAGTTTGATCAGATTGGAGAGTGAACTACCGGGAATACATCCAGTTACGAAAGCTTTAGGTCTAAAGTGGAATACGAGAACAGACAGCCTTGTCTTTATGATTGAATTGGACTCTATGAAATTGAAATCAGAGACATTGTACACTAAGAGAGAACTAGCTTCTTTAGCAGCAAAGATCTTCGATCCGATCGGTCTCATCTCGCCTTTTACAGTAAGGTCAAAACTTTTGCTTCAGAGTCTGTGGACCCAGGGTGTTGGTTGGGATGATGAGTTACCTGAAGAAACCTCTAGGAAATGGGTTCAGTGGGTTCAAGAGCTTTCAGAGCTTGAACAGCTTCACATTCCAAGAAGTTACATTGATGGGCCTTTAAGCCAGCATGCAAAGGTGGAGTTACACGCATTTGGTGATGCATCAGAAGTTGCGTATGCCACCGCCATTTATATCAGAGTTGTTCCTAAAGAAGAGAAGGCATCTACAAGCCTTGTGATGTCTAAGACAAGAGTTGCTCCTGTGCGAAAAATTAGTCTCCCTCGCTTGGAGCTAATGGCTGCAGTGATAACTGCTCAACTGTGTATCTATGTTAAAGATGCAATTCACGGTGCTATTAGCCGCAACGTCTGTTGGACGGACAATTCTTCCACCTTACACTGGATCAGAGTATCAGCCTCACAGTGGAAACCATTTGTTGCTAACCGTGTCATGGAGATTCAGTCACTGTTGGATCCTAGTGTTTGGAGATATTGCCCGGCGTCGCATAATCCAGCAGATCTACCTAGCTGAGGCTTATCTATCAGCCAGCTTAGAGAGAGTCAGTTGTGGGGGAAGGGGCCCTTTTGGTTGCAAGAGTTAGAAAAGGATTGGCCAGAGGATTTAAGATCCAAGTCTCCAAATGAAGCAGTACAAGTGGAGAGGAAGAGTAAAGCTATTGGCAGCTGTGTTGTCCAAACTAGAGAACTGTTTATTGACTACGCCAGGTTCAGCAAGTACAGTCGATTGTTAAGAACTGTTGCATGGATCAGAAGATTCATTCGCAACTCGAAGTTGAAAGAAGAAGAGAGACTTTCAACTCCTTTAACTGGACTAGAGATACGAGAGGCAGAAGAATGGCTGATAGCCCATGTACAGAAAACAAGTTTTGACGAAGTAGCTTCGTTGGCTAAACATGGTGGTCCCTTGAAGGACAGTAAGCTAGCAAATTTAAATCCATTTCTGTGTCCTACTAGTGGCTTACTTCGCGTTGGAGGAAGAATTCATAAGTCTTCATTACCGGAAGAGGAGAAGCATCCCATTATCTTGCCTTCCAACCATCCTGTTGTGAAGCTCCTGATTGAAGATGTTCACTGCCGTGAACTCCATGCTGGCGTTGAGTGTACTTTATCAGTCCTACGACAGAAATTTTGGTTGATCAAAGGGAGATCAACAGTCCGTCAGACAGTAAAGAACTGCCTAGTTTGTCGCCATTACCACACAAAGCCATTTATGCAGAAGATGGCACCACTTCCTGAAGACAGGATCAAACCTGCACCGCCATTTACTAATGTTGGTTTGGACTTTGCTGGTCCATTGTTTTTAAAAGACAGTGGCGAAAAGGCTTACATCTGTCTATTTACCTGCGCAGTTACCCGTGCAATACACTTAGAGTTAGTGAGCAACATGACTGCGGAGCGGTTTCTCCTTGCCTTAAGACGAATGGTGGCAAGAAGAGGAATGTGCCGTATTATTTGGTCAGATAATGCCAAAACATTCAAGAGTGCTAATAAACATTTGCAGCAATGCTGGAGAGTACTTGAAGCTGACAAAACTCAAGTCGCATTGTCTGAAAGGAAGATTCAGTGGAAGTATATCGTGGAGAGATCTCCGTGGTGGGGTGGGTTTTATGAACGTCTTGTGAAGAGTGTCAAGACACCTCTGAAAAAAATCTTTGCCAAAGCAATGTTGGATGCTGAACAGCTGACCACCATTTTAGCTGAAATCGAGGCACAGCTGAAGAGTGGTCCTCTTACTTACCTTAGTGCAGACCCTGGGGACTACAGCGTGATTACTCCTGCTCAGATTCTCATAGGGAGAAATCTTGAAGCGTCTCTAGCTAGGGACATGCATGAGTACCTGAGATCTTTGATACCCCTCAAGAAATGGTTTACAGTTGGTCGCGAAATACACAAAGGTGACTTGGTCCTTGTTAGCGAAGATAACTTAGCTCGAGGTCAGTGGAAACGTGCGCGCATGGAAGCCACCCATCCTGGTCGTGATGGTCTTATCCGATCAGTTACCGTGCGATTGCCATCTGGAAGTCTTACCCGTCGTCCAGTGCAGCGGCTACACCTTTTTGAAACCTGTGATGCTGATCTAGCTGCTGAACTTGATTGAACTGACAAACGAACGTTGACAATTATTGAACTTGATGAAAACATTATTGATCAATTTGAAGATGCACTCCCTGCATCGGGCGGGAGGATGTTCGGAACTGAAATTTTATATTCTGTTAGATTGTTCGGACGTGTGGGAACTAGGCCCTAAGTTAGTCTTCAGGGGCTCGAACCCCCCTTAAGTTTTTTCGACATGTGTTTTTTCGCTTGCGTTGTAAATTCTTGTAGTTTGTTCATCATGTTTGTTTCGTAAATATAGTTGATTTATGCAAGAAATCGTTTTATTCACCATCTTTGTGCCCCTGAAATGTAAACAAATCTAAGACGCAAGTGCGTGAGTTTGAGATGGTTCTCTGTATTATGGTCGGTTGCGGGGGAAAAAAGCGGTAAACAGAACGCAAAATTCAGTAAAATACCAAAGATTATCACAAATCAAGGCGAGGAATGGGAAGAATTGACACGGGAGAGAAGAAATCGCTGGATTTCGGCGGTCAGTCATGGCGACACTGAGGAGAAGGACATCCTAGAACGCGAACGTGTTTGTGATCGTCATTTCATTTCAGGGAAGGCTGCAGCTGTATGGGACAAGCACAACATCGATTGGGTACCGACTTCGAAAATCTCGGTAAAAGGGATTATAAGGGAAACAAACGGAAAGAACAAACCCAGAAGGCTGCAGAAGACAGGGCCAAAAGAGGAAAGGAACGCAGGAAACACTCTATTGAACGAAAGGAAGTCGAAGTCGCCGAGAAGAGAAAACATCTAAATGTGAGTGGGGATGGAGTTGTTGATATCCACTTCACAGAGACTAGCACAATTACCTCAACAGAAGAAGTCAAGGCATTGCCAATGCGACAGAAATGGAGCCATCAGAGGCCTCTAGTTCCACGACTGGTACTACAAGCGATGCTGAAAACCACGCTGAAGGAAGCGTCTCAGAGCCTTCAAAAGACGCCGAAACACAAACCGAGGAGTTTGAATACATGTTTTATAGGCCAACATATCAAGCTCCAGACAGCGAGTATTTCAGATCTGATGATAAAGTTCGCTCTTATACGGAGATACCATCCTACCAGGTTCTCATAGCAACTTTTAACCATGTGGTGCCACACGTGAGTCACCGTACTCAGGCACTGGATCCACTCCAGGAATTTGTTTTGGTTTTGATTAAGCTTCGACTCAATGTCCCTTTTAAGGATCTGGCTTACCGTTTCTTGGTATCGGTACCAACTGTTTCACGGATTTTTTTTCATGGATGAATGCCATGGACTACAGGTTGCGTCGGCATGTTTACTGGCCTGAGAGAGAGAATCTTTGCAAAACAATGCCAATGTGATTTAAATACGCCTTTGGCAACAAGGTGACAGTTATAATCGACTGTTTTGAGGTTTTCATTGAGAAACCAACAAATTTGCTTGCAAGAGCACAGACATTTAGTTCATATAAACATCAAAACACTATAAAAATTTTAATAGCCATCACCCCTCAAGGATCTATTTCACTTGTTTCTGAAGCTTGGAGGGGGTAGAACCTCTGACAAGTTCCTGACTGAGAATTGTGGATTTCTTGACAAACTTTTACCTGGAGACATGGTTATGGCGGACAGAGGCTTCACAATCAATGAAAGTGTGGGACTAAAACAAGCTAAACTTTTCATTCCAGCGTTTACTAAGGGGAAGTCACAAGTAGACTCAGTAGATGTAGAGAAGACCTGAGGTATTGCGAGCGTCTGCATTCATGTCGAACGAGTCATTTGACTTCTCCGTCGTAAGTACACAATTTTAGAGGGTACTTTACCAACAGACTTTCTTAGGGGTAGCGCTAAGGAAGCACCAGATTCCCAAGTTCCCATAATTGACAGAATAGTGAGGGTTTGCTCTGCTCTTATGAATTTATACCCTGGAATAGTACCCTTAGATTAGTCATGTCCTTTTTGGTTACATTCAGAAGTTTGAAATGATAAAACATAACCATGTTAACCCTTTCACTCCCAGAGGTGGTTAAAGTCAAAAGTCAGCAAAATTTCCAAATTTCATTTTGTAAAATGTTGAAAACAAAAAGCACCCTAGGAAAGTACTGTTGAAGGGGTTTCATTTGAATGTTAACCCTGACAATTTGTCCAGAAACTCAAACGTCAGAACCACCTTACAACACTACACTGTATATTATTCAGTATGGGAGTGAAAAGGGTTAATATTCTTATGGTGCGTACTTTTTTTGTGAGGACAGGGACCATAAAACATGGGCTTGGACATGTAAAAAGTTTTAGCTCAAGCTACAAAATGACTTTCAAGATAAGTTTTAAGTGTTAGTTCAGTGTCTCAATAGTTTCATGACAAATTGTACAGTTGTGACACACCTGTTTCAGCAAGGCAAGGTGGAGATGCACTGCTTTAAATTATGACACATGTTGAATGGTAAAAATGTCTTTGTAAAGTATGTATAGAGAGCTTTGAATTTTTGTAAAGCACAAACATTCTTGTATTTGTTTTGTAAAAAATGTATCCGTTGTTATTGTTCTTGGGGAAGCAAAAAACTGACATTGCTCTTGTAAGCCAAACTTTTTAGCAGGCAGTGTAAACTAATGGCAAGAGGTTCCCCCAACCCACCCCTACTACATACACAATGGCGAATCAATGGAGACTGAGTATTTCCTGGAACAACACACAGCACATAAAAAAATCAGTTTGCTCTAAAGCAATTAAATATAAAAAATATATACATGTATTTTGATGCGATTTTGGTACTATCTTGATGTAAATTTTAATTTTCGATCGAAGAGGTGCATGGAATGAGGCCCTAAGTGACTCCTGATCTGATGAGATATTCTTCTTTTGTTTCACAAGCAAATACAAAAGGAACTCAGGGCTGTCATTAAGAGCCCGGGGCCGGGGATTTCCCCCAGCTACTATGAGTGTGGCCCCGGGCTACTTTTATTGGAAAATGGAAGAAAATTAGAACCAAAAGAAACCCCTCGGTGTTTGATTCCCCGCCTACTTGTATTTACCCAGCAACTCAAACATTCAAGAGTGCTAATAAACATTTGCAGCAATGCTGGAGAGTACTTGAAGCTGACAAAACTCAAGTCGCATTGTCTGAAAGGAAGATTCAGTGGAAGTATATCGTGGAGAGATCTCCGTGGTGGGGTGGGTTTTATGAACGTCTTGTGAAGAGTGTCAAGACACCTCTGAAAAAAATCTTTGCCAAAGCAATGTTGGATGCTGAACAGCTGACCACCATTTTAGCTGAAATCGAGGCACAGCTGAAGAGTGGTCCTCTTACTTACCTTAGTGCAGACCCTGGGGACTACAGCGTGATTACTCCTGCTCAGATTCTCATAGGGAGAAATCTTGAAGCGTCTCTAGCTAGGGACATGCATGAGTACCTGAGATCTTTGATACCCCTCAAGAAATGGTTTACAGTTGGTCGCGAAATACACAAAGGTGACTTGGTCCTTGTTAGCGAAGATAACTTAGCTCGAGGTCAGTGGAAACGTGCGCGCATGGAAGCCACCCATCCTGGTCGTGATGGTCTTATCCGATCAGTTACCGTGCGATTGCCATCTGGAAGTCTTACCCGTCGTCCAGTGCAGCGGCTACACCTTTTTGAAACCTGTGATGCTGATCTAGCTGCTGAACTTGATTGAACTGACAAACGAACGTTGACAATTATTGAACTTGATGAAAACATTATTGATCAATTTGAAGATGCACTCCCTGCATCGGGCGGGAGGATGTTCGGAACTGAAATTTTATATTCTGTTAGATTGTTCGGACGTGTGGGAACTAGGCCCTAAGTTAGTCTTCAGGGGCTCGAACCCCCCTTAAGTTTTTTCGACATGTGTTTTTTCGCTTGCGTTGTAAATTCTTGTAGTTTGTTCATCATGTTTGTTTCGTAAATATAGTTGATTTATGCAAGAAATCGTTTTATTCACCATCTTTGTGCCCCTGAAATGTAAACAAATCTAAGACGCAAGTGCGTGAGTTTGAGATGGTTCTCTGTATTATGGTCGGTTGCGGGGGAAAAAAGCGGTAAACAGAACGCAAAATTCAGTAAAATACCAAAGATTATCACAAATCAAGGCGAGGAATGGGAAGAATTGACACGGGAGAGAAGAAATCGCTGGATTTCGGCGGTCAGTCATGGCGACACTGAGGAGAAGGACATCCTAGAACGCGAACGTGTTTGTGATCGTCATTTCATTTCAGGGAAGGCTGCAGCTGTATGGGACAAGCACAACATCGATTGGGTACCGACTTCGAAAATCTCGGTAAAAGGGATTATAAGGGAAACAAACGGAAAGAACAAACCCAGAAGGCTGCAGAAGACAGGGCCAAAAGAGGAAAGGAACGCAGGAAACACTCTATTGAACGAAAGGAAGTCGAAGTCGCCGAGAAGAGAAAACATCTAAATGTGAGTGGGGATGGAGTTGTTGATATCCACTTCACAGAGACTAGCACAATTACCTCAACAGAAGAAGTCAAGGCATTGCCAATGCGACAGAAATGGAGCCATCAGAGGCCTCTAGTTCCACGACTGGTACTACAAGCGATGCTGAAAACCACGCTGAAGGAAGCGTCTCAGAGCCTTCAAAAGACGCCGAAACACAAACCGAGGAGTTTGAATACATGTTTTATAGGCCAACATATCAAGCTCCAGACAGCGAGTATTTCAGATCTGATGATAAAGTTCGCTCTTATACGGAGATACCATCCTACCAGGTTCTCATAGCAACTTTTAACCATGTGGTGCCACACGTGAGTCACCGTACTCAGGCACTGGATCCACTCCAGGAATTTGTTTTGGTTTTGATTAAGCTTCGACTCAATGTCCCTTTTAAGGATCTGGCTTACCGTTTCTTGGTATCGGTACCAACTGTTTCACGGATTTTTTTTCATGGATGAATGCCATGGACTACAGGTTGCGTCGGCATGTTTACTGGCCTGAGAGAGAGAATCTTTGCAAAACAATGCCAATGTGATTTAAATACGCCTTTGGCAACAAGGTGACAGTTATAATCGACTGTTTTGAGGTTTTCATTGAGAAACCAACAAATTTGCTTGCAAGAGCACAGACATTTAGTTCATATAAACATCAAAACACTATAAAAATTTTAATAGCCATCACCCCTCAAGGATCTATTTCACTTGTTTCTGAAGCTTGGAGGGGGTAGAACCTCTGACAAGTTCCTGACTGAGAATTGTGGATTTCTTGACAAACTTTTACCTGGAGACATGGTTATGGCGGACAGAGGCTTCACAATCAATGAAAGTGTGGGACTAAAACAAGCTAAACTTTTCATTCCAGCGTTTACTAAGGGGAAGTCACAAGTAGACTCAGTAGATGTAGAGAAGACCTGAGGTATTGCGAGCGTCTGCATTCATGTCGAACGAGTCATTTGACTTCTCCGTCGTAAGTACACAATTTTAGAGGGTACTTTACCAACAGACTTTCTTAGGGGTAGCGCTAAGGAAGCACCAGATTCCCAAGTTCCCATAATTGACAGAATAGTGAGGGTTTGCTCTGCTCTTATGAATTTATACCCTGGAATAGTACCCTTAGATTAGTCATGTCCTTTTTGGTTACATTCAGAAGTTTGAAATGATAAAACATAACCATGTTAACCCTTTCACTCCCAGAGGTGGTTAAAGTCAAAAGTCAGCAAAATTTCCAAATTTCATTTTGTAAAATGTTGAAAACAAAAAGCACCCTAGGAAAGTACTGTTGAAGGGGTTTCATTTGAATGTTAACCCTGACAATTTGTCCAGAAACTCAAACGTCAGAACCACCTTACAACACTACACTGTATATTATTCAGTATGGGAGTGAAAAGGGTTAATATTCTTATGGTGCGTACTTTTTTTGTGAGGACAGGGACCATAAAACATGGGCTTGGACATGTAAAAAGTTTTAGCTCAAGCTACAAAATGACTTTCAAGATAAGTTTTAAGTGTTAGTTCAGTGTCTCAATAGTTTCATGACAAATTGTACAGTTGTGACACACCTGTTTCAGCAAGGCAAGGTGGAGATGCACTGCTTTAAATTATGACACATGTTGAATGGTAAAAATGTCTTTGTAAAGTATGTATAGAGAGCTTTGAATTTTTGTAAAGCACAAACATTCTTGTATTTGTTTTGTAAAAAATGTATCCGTTGTTATTGTTCTTGGGGAAGCAAAAAACTGACATTGCTCTTGTAAGCCAAACTTTTTAGCAGGCAGTGTAAACTAATGGCAAGAGGTTCCCCCAACCCACCCCTACTACATACACAATGGCGAATCAATGGAGACTGAGTATTTCCTGGAACAACACACAGCACATAAAAAAATCAGTTTGCTCTAAAGCAATTAAATATAAAAAATATATACATGTATTTTGATGCGATTTTGGTACTATCTTGATGTAAATTTTAATTTTCGATCGAAGAGGTGCATGGAATGAGGCCCTAAGTGACTCCTGATCTGATGAGATATTCTTCTTTTGTTTCACAAGCAAATACAAAAGGAACTCAGGGCTGTCATTAAGAGCCCGGGGCCGGGGATTTCCCCCAGCTACTATGAGTGTGGCCCCGGGCTACTTTTATTGGAAAATGGAAGAAAATTAGAACCAAAAGAAACCCCTCGGTGTTTGATTCCCCGCCTACTTGTATTTACCCAGCAACTCAAAATCTTAGCGACAACCCTGGAACTGAAATGAGAATTTGGATTGTTCCAGCTTTTATTAGCTACTTTGCGGGTAATGACTGTTATAAAGGTATCATTATTTATCAATTTAAACTTCATAATCAGCCAAGCCTAGTATTACAGGGACCATGCCCATTGTAGTTATCAAAAAACCTAAATGGACATAAATAATAGCTTTATTACACATTGTTTTAAAAAGTTCTGGAAATACAATGTGTAGTAAAATAGATTATAATAGTAATAAAAACCCAGGGCCCATTTTTTCAAAAGAAAAAAGGGTTGTACGTGAAGGGTAAAGCCAATTCTTTTTCAAGAGTCAAAATGTTCTTGTGTAGTAAGATGTATCTGGAGCGTATTAAAATAATGTTGAGAGTGTTGCAACATTTTATATTACATGTACCCCTGCAGCTTTAGGTTCAATTTGCATACACTACAGTAGATATCCTTCAGTTCACTTTTTTGCTTGCATAAAGTGATTAATTCTACTCTGGTTTGAGTCAATGAATAAAACTGACAGTAAGTTAAAAAATAGGAAACATGCTTATTTTTTCTGCCTTAAGACAGGCTGCTAAATGGGGACGCATTCTAAGGGTGTCGAAAGTTACATGCTTAGGATTTGTTCCCAAAGCAAGAGAGACAGCAAAGGCAATTGCGAACACCCCACAGTCGCTATCATTTGTCTGCTGTTGAACTGGAACAAACTGAAGTTCCACCAAATGACCACCTAGCAAGTCATTCGTCTGCTCCTCTATCTCTTGACTTATGACATCATGAAACAGACTGTCATAAAGCCCAACCTTCCTAGGCAAACATCCTATGGAACTTACACAGACCCAATGATCACTGCCTGTGTGGAGCATTTGAATAAATTCACCTGAAACAACATCAAAGTTTGGAACGCATCCAAGAGTTGGACGCTGTAGGCCTTCAAGCAATGGGTTTACTTGTTGTAATAACACTTGTACGTTTTTAAGGAAATTGAGAAAAGCCCCATTGCCTTCAATTTCCTTGAGTTGGCCACAGTGATTACTTCGGTTCTCATTTGTTTTGCAACACCCAACTTTAAGCTGTTACAATGTAAGAGTAGGTGATGAGAACAAAGGGAATGATCAGTGAAGATATATAATATTGTTGACTTTTAATTATCTTTGCAGTGTCTCTCAACTAACACTTACCTATAGCATGAAAAGCAGAGACCATTGAAGACAGTGTTTTTGAATCACGTACAGTGAAACCTGTATTAAGCGGACACCCTCTATTAAGCGGACAGTAGCTGAAGTCCCAAATTTATTTCCCTTATTTACTTGAAATGAAACCTTTATTAAGCGGACACCTCTATTAAGCGGATGCGGACACGTAAAAAGTACCTGAAATGGTCATTTCTATTGTTGCCAACCTGTATTAAATGGTCACTAGCAATTAAATTCCACCACCCAACATACCAGACACTGGAAATGCGAAAGATTGCCACCCACAGATTTTAATATTTTTACATTAAAAAACGTGACTTGACGAACTTATTTGATTAGCTTCACAGTACATTGTTGTTTTCTATTTCGTTTTGTTTCTATAGAGCTTGTTTCACTGGTCTGAGTTCTTCAAATTTGAGTTGCAATCTATGTTTATGGTACTATCATCTTTAATAAAGAAATTAATGCAAACGTATATCGTCATAGTCTCTGGGAGTATTCTGAATGTTTCCACTGTTCATTTGAATGGCATTTGACACCTCATCTGATGTTATCTATCCAAACCTGTATTAGGCAGACACCCTGTATTAAGCGGACACTACAGCATACCCCGAGGGTGTACGCTTAATACAGGTTTCACTGTACTAGTATTTTGCAGCATGTGAAATTATGACCAAAAGTAACAAATGTCTTTGTAAACAGAATGCTTCAGGACTTCGACACTAACTTTTAAACTTACTAGCCAAGTGGCTAGTGACTAAATGTATGTAGATTTTACTAGGCAAAATAATATTAATTTTACTCAGCCAAATTAAATGGGATGAAGTAATGACTCAAATGCAGCAGAATAAATGCATCAGCAAACATAAAAAACTGAAGAATACCTAGGCTAGAACAATTTACATATTATTCCACAAAAAAGGCCGATATGAAAAGCAGTGCACTCTAGAGACTTTGCCTCTGAGGATGCCAATTAATTACCATTCAGGCTAAGAAGTCATACCAAAAATAGCATTATTTGTCAGTCAATGCCATCTTTTTTCTTTTTCTTGCAATAAGCAAACTATTTCTAATTTCAAGTTTTTCACTTGCGAAAGTGGTCTGTGGCTTACCCTTTGAGCAGAGGTCCTTTCGATCTTCCTAGAAAAGTTGGGAAGAGGAAGGTCCCTTCCTCTTCCTGACTTATCTAGGAAGATCAAAGGGACTCTGCTCACAGGGTATCTGTGGCTATGACTACCATCAGTGTCCAGCCCTGATGCTTGCATTTTCAGTTAATTGAATGCCTAACCTTTTCAAATACTAGTAAGCCACATCAACCATTGTTGGGCAACTTATGGGTTCAGCATGCTCTGGCTACCTGAATTACCAGGCTAATATTCTTTGAAAGTTATTAGTCCCATCGGTGATAAAATTATACGTTCTTCATTATTATTACCATCCTTACAACTCAAAATTTCTTTCCCATTTTCTACTAGTTCACACAATGGTAAAAATGTGAAATTTTACGAGCCCAACCTCATTTTACAAGCATAGAGCTACTGGGCTACTGGAGATGTTGAACCCTGGTTTCAGTAATAACCCCAATGCAAAGTATGGGATGAACAGCATGTACATAAGCTCTAGCTGGAACAAAAATTGACATTATTTTCAGGAAATGTGATGAATCTTCAATTTTCAGTGTTATGTATAAAATGCCCCTTCCCTTAAATAGAACACTAAAGTGATTAGAGTCAAAAACATGAAAACATGCTCATTTTTGTTGCCCTTAAACATGTAACTAAATGTGAACGCATTCTTTGACTATCAAATGTCACATTGCTGGGGTTCGTGCCTAAAGCAAGGCATGTGGCAAAGGCTATTGCAAATATGCCACAGTCACAGCCATTTGTTTGTTGCTGAACGGAAACAAACTGTAGTCTGACCAATCTTCCA